GGCCTAAGCCGCTGCTTCCCTCCCCGCCCATGGTGGGGGCTGCCTTTTCCTCACCAGCAAGGCCGAGCACTAGGGTTTCCCGGCAGGAAGGGCACTTAGTGCTTTCATTTTCACCGAGCCGCCTGTGGGGGCGGCCAGGGCTGGCAGAGGCTGCTCCGGCCACCTCAGGGTGCAGACACCTGCACCTGCAGCCCTGGGCTTCCACAGGCCTGCGCAGGCAGCCTCTGGCACCTCCACGTCTCTGGGGCCACAGGAAGAGGCGCAGCTCTGTCAGGCCAGGGATCGTAAATCACTCACCTGTTCAGGTACCAGGTACCTGTTCAGGCACCAGGGTTTACCTAAGGATGCGTCTTTCCTGGGCATTTCGCACTTGTAGGATAAGCAGAAACAACACTTTCTGTGTAGGGTGACCTGAATATGTGCAAGGTGAAAGCACTGAAAGGAATCTTTGGACTATGGGTAGGCTCCTTTTTTTTTTTTTTTTTTTTTTTTCCTCCTTCCAGGAATATGAATCTCTTGAGCAAGAAAATACCTCCCTGAAGAGAGAAATTGGAAAACTAACAGATGAAATGAAACACTTGAGTGAAGTGTTGAAGGATCATGAAAAGATCTGTCCACTATTGCATTGCTCCATGAACTTTGTGACCGTACCAAGGCCTGATGCACTCACTAGCTGCCTGCCAAGATGAGAGGTCTCCTTGATCATGTTGCAGTGAAGGCAAAGGCACCCATCAATAGGGGAAATTTGAAGAACTGTCTACCTACAGTGTGGGTCTTTCCTTAAAGAGGACTGGACTTGACACACAGGTCTTCTCCATGTCTAAATTCTATAGTATTCTGAATCTCAGGAAAACACCAGTAGGGAAAAGAGCTTTAATGGTGACTTCATCTCTGGCGGAACCCAGAAGCCATGGTTTTGTGTTCAGCAATGTCGCAGTAGGCTGCAGCCTGCCCACGCGGCGTGGGATGCAGGCGCAGAAGAGCTCCGGCTGCGAGAAAGGCACCTGACCAAGCCTTTCTCCAACACGTCCACCGCTAGTAACTCTTCGGCAGTTGTCATCCTGAGAGATCCTATTCTGGCTGCTGTTTTTCTCTAAACGGGTTGGGTTAATAAAAGCAATCACCTGTCTTTATTATATTCTCCACCTCATTCAATTTATAATGTCTTTTGAACATCTCTGCTTTTACATACTGGTCAAAGCCAAAGTCTAATGCTAATCTTCCTGCCAGTTGTTTTATCATTTGCTTATCACCACTTCAGTGCTTCCTCTTTTGAAGTGTGCTCAACAAAGGAGTTTTCCCAGTCCTTATTTCTTTACTACCTGTAATCATCCATCTAATAATGTGAGTTCTCAGAGTGCTTTGTATCGTAAAACATGGTTCAGCCAATTTCACCTGATGATTGCCTGGTCTATGTGGTGGAAAACCTAAGCATTCTTTTGCTGTTTTAAAGCTTTGTCATAAAGAACAAATTTTAAAATTTACAGTTTTATTGTATCCACTGGAAATAAGTAAGAGATTGTTTGATTTGGGGGGAGATATTTTGTGGGGGAAGTTGGGATTTTTGTTGTTGATTTGTTTTTGTGTTTTTGATAATGCGCTCATTATCCTTACCCTTTATTTTGCATGGTGCATTGGGTAGTTGGCTTCTGAGAGTAGAATACAGTCAGTTTTGTTAAGCATTTTGCTCTATATCCATACTGAGATGTTTGGATAACTGTTTGCAAAAGAAACAGTGCAATTTAGTGCTTTTTTTTCTGGAAATGAAGAATTATTGCAATGTTCATGAGACAAAAAAGTGCTTGATTTCTTTGCTTCTTAGCAGTGTCAAGCACTGGAAATGTGAATGCTGTAGCCTGAGCAAAGACTGGTTTTCTCACAGCATTTCCTAATCAATGAGTGCCTTAGGAACAAACCAAGCTGTACCCCTCTGCCAACTCTCTCGCTTCACCATTTGGTTTTTCCTTCAGTCCCAACTCAAGGGATTCAGCTCTGCCCTCAGCTGGGCTTGGAGGTTTATCAGCAGAATATAATCTGAAATGTTAAAGTTTTGTTAACATTTTCATTATTGCATTACTGAACGCTGCAAAGAATGGGGGAAACTATGTAGCCAGCTCTCTGCCTTCTGAAGGACACTCTCATGCTGTTGTTTTATGACAGAAGTTCAAGACCAACAGGAGGAGAGATCCTTTGATTTCTCTAAACATTTCTTTAGGGTGTTCTGGGTGAATTTTCAGCACACACAGAAGCTGTAGAAGCCTAAGAACAATCTTCAAAGCTTCTTACGGTCCTGTAAAAACTGAGTCATCTTGAAAGAAGGTCTGGTGTAGTCCCTGGAGAGGAAAATGAAAGCTTCAGGATACTTCACAAATGCTTTTCAGATAAAGTCCCTGATCGGGCACTGCGTGTTCCCCTTACAGAAGTTCTTGTGAACATCTTAGTCCACCTTACCTGCTTACTTCAGTCCCCAGATGCCAGCCCCAGTGTAACTTGGAGGAGCAGAGTTGCAATAGCATAGCAGAAATGAACAGCATCCACTTAGGGGAAATTCAGTATAGCTTAGGATGGAAGGAGAGGGAGAGGATGCCTCACATTTCCTAATAGGTGCAGGCAGCTGAGCTGAGGCTGCTGCTAGGAAGGAACTACCGGAGCCAGAGCTGGTGCAGAAACACAGTCTCTCCTATATTGTCCTGTGGATCTTAAAAAATGGGAGGAAAGAGCAACTGCTCTGTCACAGAGGCCATCCCTGCAGAATCCTCCCAAGGATTTTGTCCCACAGGTGCTTTCTTCTGGAAACAGAGATCTAGTTCCCTCCTCCTCACCCTGGAGAGCCAGCACTAAACGTTCTTCTAAAAGTTTGCCAAGAAACACACTCCACTTGGTGGTTCAGTAGCCTGAGCGCTGTTGTACCTCAGCACGTCAGTAAGCAGTATTCTCCCTCCGCTGCTGTGCAAAGCTCAGTTCGAAGCCTGTTCGGCCAGCCCCGCAGCACCGCTGCATGCTCAGGGCAGCGACGCAAGCCCGGGGCAGCGCTGCTCCTCTTGGGAGCCCCGCAGAGGCCCCGGTGCCCCCGGCCTCACCGCAGCCACCGGCTCCCTCCCACAGCCGCAGGGTGTAGCTCCAGCCTGCACGTCCTGTGCATTAGTAACAGGGGGCTTTGAACCTCCAGGGCTGGGGCTGCTGCTTCCTCCTTCATCTGTTGCATCACGTTTTTTTCCCAGCACTATTACCAAAGGGCCGGATGCATCACCCTTCTGTTTAATAGTTTAGTTTAACCAAGGCATCAGTCACAAACAGTATTTTATATGACTAACATTCAAAGACAGCTGGGAACCCCAAGCAAAAGAAATGAGCAAAATGAGTGTCCCAAGCCAAATAAACCAAACATTCTAGTATATCTATAGAACTAATGTCACAGCTGAATCATGTATCAAGAGGGACAGCAAACTGCCAAAAAGCATAGGCTGTTAAAGCACAGACTAACAAAACAATATTCATGCAGACAGATAAGACTCTTTGCAGGAGCTGTTCTTAAAGATATGGGTTTGCAGTGAATTTCAAAACTGAAAGTATGTTTTGGAGCCTGGGATAATGGTGACTTTAAATAGGGAACCAGAAAGGAGAACAGAAAGGAAAAGGCCCATTTGTTAAGGAAGCAGCAGAAAGATCTTTTTCAGATCCAAACCTCCCCTTTTGCAGCAGGGTACACACCATCACAAACATGTTTCATACCTATATATGGCTAAAATTTTGCTTGATGTGTTATGGCTTTAGAAAGCTTCCAATGAGTTTGACTTGCTGCATATGAATGTGGTGTGTATTATGCACACACGATTTTCAGATGCAGGTGTATCTGTGCTCAGGTGTTGGCTCATGTGAGGAGCATGTGTGAATTACAGACCTGTTTGTGGATGTGTAGCGTAAGTGAAGGTTACCATGAAATATGGATTTTGGTTCTTAGGCTCACAATGAAGGCTACAGTTTATCTGCACTTGTTTAGTATGGATTAGGGTTTTTTATTATTATTATTTTTGTATTTCCTGTGACCCTAATTCAAAAGCAAAATGCTCAACACAAACTTATCCGAAGCTGAAGGTATTCATTCCGGTAGCAGATGGTGTCCAATTCAGCTATTTGTCTATTCATTTCTTTCAGCTAGTGTTGGGCCAAATTTAAATTGATCATGTTTCAAAAAGCTAATTTTAGCCTTCAAAAGTAAAAAAGTCAACAGAAATATGGAGCTTTCCAAAATGGTTAACGTGAATATAACTGAGATTAATTATTATACCTCAAGAGAAGAGATTTAAGAGAAAAAAAACCCCACTCCTTCCCATTTGTCTTTTACATTCATGTTTGCAAACATTTACAAGATTCTTTATGTATTCATCCTGCGCCCTGCTCAAAACAGACCTTTTTAAAAACACATTTGCAAGAGCCTATTCTGCAGATTTGATGTTTTTCTGTTCCTTTCCCTGGAACACCCCACTGCCGCCTGCTGCTTGTTCTCTAATACCTGCTTGCCATGTCTGCATCTGCTGCTATTTGCAGTAGCCTACCCATTCTCCCAGCATCCCATTTCAAGTGCCATTTTTCGCCTTCTTCCTGTTTTCCTCTGCTCCTATGTAGCTTAGTGACAATATTGCTTAATGTTGTCCGTGTTACGGGTGCAAGGCTAATCTATAGGAGCATACAGCAATTGAATTTCACTGCTCATCCTGTATATGATGAAAGGATTTCATGTGTGGCCAGCTCTGGCAGTTGGCTACTAAGGAAGGTGTCTGCACCATCTTTTAAATCGTATTTAAAAGTGACATAACCTTTACTCTAGCCTACAAACCGCATACTGCTTCCTGTCCATAGATGAACGCTTTGCTGTACTGCATTTGGGGTTTCCATCTGTGAATCAGTCTAGAATTTCTGCCTAAGTACCTCAGTGAAAGTGATAGATAAAGCAAACATTTTTTTAAAAAAAAATCCCTTCTCTCTTCTTCCCATCAGTGTGGTGGTATAATTCCTGTCACAGGAAGGAAGCATGTCTGATAAGCAGGAGAAGTGGTGGGTTTGGTTTACTGTTACAAAGACTAACGTTATTCTCTTCATAGGAGGGTTTTCTGTATGTAAATCCTGAGTTACTGTCAAGTGGAGCCTGGAGAGACCTTTTACATGTACACACAGCATGTGGTGTGGCCACACATCTACGAAGGACTGAGAGAATTTGGGTTCTTCACAGAAATGTGGTTTTTACACTGATTTCCCTGGAAGCAGAACCAATCCCACAGTTGCCTTAGATGACATGTAGCACCGTGCTTACTAACCTGGGTAATGTTTAACTCAAGAGTAGTTACAGGCTAACTTGAAGTGGTAATTCTTAATTTGGAAACCATAGTAACAATCATCCGTGAGATTGCACGCTCCTTTTCTGGCATTCATTTGGGGTTTTTTCTTCAATAGGTCCTACGGAAAAAATCCATAAGAATTGAGTAGTTTTTTTTTTTTTTCTCCCACTGCAGAATTTTTAAACCGTGACATCAAATGTAAGGGCTTGATTATTCTGGAAATAGCTGGCATAGCTTTTGCAAATAGACTGTTCTATACTGGCTATGTGTTTGGTCTGCGCTAAGAGAATCTCTATAGTTCTCTTTAGAAGTGGATAAGCTAAACCACAAAGGGCTGTCTTGGTTATAGAATAAAAACATTCATTCAGGGAGTCAGTACAAAATGACTACTGTGCTTCAATTTCACAGCTTGTCATACTGCGAAGCTGCTTCTCCACATAGCCAAATAGAAAATGATAACCCTAATATGTGTTTGTCTTTTCTATCTGCGTTAGAAGCGTTTTTGCTGTGTTTATTTAAAGTTCTATAG